TAAACATTGTCAAAATTATATAGAATTTGGAAAAAAAAAAACAAGTTTTTTGTTTCTTATTCCAATTTCCGATTTGTGACAACATAAATAAAAATAATTTGAATCTATGAGTTGATCATGCACTTCTATTTTTGTTTATTAAAAAGATGATACTGAGACAAGAATTCATAACATTATCAAACTATCTATTAATACACATTTCTTTATTGTCACATTAGTTATCTATCTAACCAATTTATGGAAAGCTAATTACCACAAAAATCAAAATGATTTTTTTAAAAAAAAATTATGGACTAAAATAAAAGTTTAAGAAGCTAGGGAAATCAAATAATTGAGATTGACCTAATGAAATTTAAGATATGAAAATAAAACAATGTTGAAAGTATAAAAATAATAGATATTTCAAAAGTTTAGGTAGGTTTGATAAAAATTTCTATTTTTAGTTTTTGGTTTTTCTGTTTTTAGTTTTTAATTTTTAAAAAACAAAAACTGTAGGGAGTTGATAATAGTTTTTTAAAACAAAAACTGATAACCATTTTTTTTTCTATTTTTTTTAAGTTAGAAAGTTGAAGAGAAAGGTTAGAGAAAAAAAAATCTATATAAAGTAAAGATGACAATATGGTATAGGCCAGAAATTGAAGATGCCCCCTCTCATCTTCATCCTAGCATTAGGGGGTGACTATTGATCGGTTAGCATCGGTTTTGAGCTCAAATCGACACTGACCACTGATCATTCGATTTTGGTTGGTTAGAAAATTTTCTTTCCTTACCTCTATACAAACCAACGACAAACCAACGACAGTTCAGTCAATCGATTTTGGTTGATTTTTCACAGATACTAAACTCGAGAAGAAGATTAATTCCATGGTGCTTGTGTGACTGAGAAAGCTTTTGTCTAGTTCTGTGTCTCTTTCGCAGCAACTTCATAATAACTCAAGGACCTCCACCCGATATTTCTCTCACTCGTTCTTTTTGTAATTTCTTTACTTGTGTAATTGAAAATCATTGAAAGTTTCTGATTTTATTTTCTTGGAATTTTATCTCACTTCCGAATCGTAATAATATCGTCATTTGATCAATCTCTGTTGTGGTTATTTACCTTATAAATGATTTTCTCCGAAACAGAGTTAAAGATTGTCCAGAAAAAGAGAAAAATGTCGAAAGCCTGCAAATTAGTTTTCCACAATTTCCATTTCCACGAGATTAAATGACCAAAATCAGTGAATAGAGCGAGAGCGAGAGAGAAAGAATAAGAGTAAAATAGATGTAGTTTTTCTTTTTTTAAGTTTAGGGTTGTAATTTTACCACTTATGAAAATTTTAGAGTTTAACTCATTGATCTAATTTTTTCAATTATAAAAGTTCACGAATTTAATTTTAACAATTTAAAGTTTAAGAGTATAAAAATTAGGTAAGTAAGGATATTGGGTGTGAAAAGATAAAAAGAAATAATCAATAAAAAAATTATGTRTATATATTATATTACATGTGTGTGTGAATTCACGTGAATCATGCAAAAACTTAAATTGGATTTTTTTCCTTTTATACTTTTTTCACTTACGTGCTGTCTATTAGCCACTTTTTTCTTTTTTTTTTCTTTCTTTTCAATATCTTTTCTTTTTTCTTTTCAATTTGTTACTCCCTCTCTCTCTCGTCTTTCTTTATCTTTAGCCTCTCCACATTTCTTTCTTCATTCAGTGTCTCTCATGTTTTCATTTTAGACGTTAGAATCCATATAAATGAATTAAATTTATCCAATCCATCAGCTTAATTTTTTTAGGTTGAATGGTAGTTTGTTCATTCTTAAGATGGTATTAGATGAGATAAATCACAGTTCTTTGCGGGTCCCGCCATTTCTTTGGCCTTTCTTGTTTTTTCCGCCATTCTTCTTGCTTCTTTGCCACGACTTTCCCGATAGATTCTCCGACTCCAATTGATTTGCCTCCACCGCTGGTTCCACCTAGTGTTCCGACCACTTCTGCAATTCCAGCAGCGTCTTCTTCGACTCCGTCTCCTCTTGATCAACATGTTAATCCTTATTTCATCCATGATTCTGATAACACAAAGTCTTGTTCTTGTGTCTGATTTGCTCACGGATGAAAATTATACGTCTTAGAGTCGTTCTATGACTATTGCTCTTATGGTCAAGAACAAAATTGGCTTTGTTGATGGTACTATTGAGCGACCGACCGGTGAATTGCTCAATTCATGGATAATTTGCAACAACATGGTTATCGCATGGATCCTGAATTCTCTGTCAAATGAGATATCTGCGAGTTTGCTATTTACTGATTCAGCACGGGAGATGTGGCTAGACCTTAAAGAGTAAATAAATCTTGCTTGCTTTCATTAATGTCAAAGTGACAGTATATATAGACCACTGTACAAGCAGTTATAGAAGTTACACAATACAACTTAATTAAGTTAATATACATTGGTAAACTTAAATCCTAGTAAATTCAGATATTGGATACCTAATGGTTAGATCGATTTTTCGACTGTGCTTGATTAGTCTGCCTAGTATAAATTTTTAATTTTCATTTCATCCCATTCTCCTATTCTAGAAATGAAGATCCATTAGGAATCCTAATTTCGGGACGAAGATTTTCATAGGAAAAATTACCAGTTTTGTAATTAATTTTAATTAATTTTAGAATTTAAAAATAAAAAAATAATAAATATAAATAACGTATATCTATTTTACTAAAAAATATTATTTACTTATATAAATAATTATTTTTAAAAAAATAATATTTTATTTATAATTTAGTAAAACAGTTTTAATAAAATATATATTAGTTATTTTAAAAAAAATGGAATGAGGGATGAGATTGGGACATGGTGGAAAATGCATATATGTTCTTGGAGCAGGAACCCAACCCTACAAGAATTCTTGTCATCCTTCACGTTGAGACATGAAAATAAAAATTTAGAGAGGTAACAATAAATTTTTTAAAGAGAAATTTTAGAGAGATAAAAGTTCAGAGCGAAAGACATGTTAGAGACAAAAAGAAAGAGGAAAACTATAGTGAGAAAAAATTTAGACAAAAAGAATTTTGAAATATATTTGTTAGAGAAAATAAATAAATTAAAAGAAAAATGAAAGTACCGTGAAAAAAAATTGAAAAAAATGTATTTAGATTGAGAAACTCTTGAGATATATTTATTAGAGAAAAATATATTAGACATAAAAAAAAAGTCATAAAAGGCCAAATTAAAGAAAGAGAGAAGTTCGAGAAAATATTAAATTTATAGAGGGATAAAAATGTGACTAATATGTTAGGCTTGTTTGCCAAAAATAAAAATAAAAGTATATAAAGATTTAAACTTTGGAGAGAGAGAGAAATAATAGTAAAATATTATATCTTACGGACAACGATAAATTTTAGAGATAATGTCTTTGGAGGGCTGTGTTTTAGAAACTTATTTACACAAATGTCTAAAATTTTTTAATTTTACACTTTTAGATTTCTGCCGGTAGAATTTTTTTATAATATTAATTTTACCCTTGTTTATTGTATTATTATTGTTAAATTCTTTTGTTGGCATCTAAAATATTTAAATCTCCTAAATTGTAGACATAATCATTTAATTATTGTGGACCCATATCAATTTTAACATYCCTTGATTCACTCATTCATATATTATGATAATTTCAATTTCTAAATTAATTAATGTGTAGTTTATGCACTAATACCAAGGCAAAGTTTTGCTCCTACTCACGTTTTTCTTCTTTTCACAGTTTACTACCGCTCAAAACCTTGTATATGGTTGCTGATTTAATTTTTTTTTTTTTTGTGAGAAGAAGATTCTTCCACATGATTTCCTTTGGTTGGTAAAATATAGAAGGATTCCTTTAGTTTTTTTTGGTGAGAATAAGTTTTTTGCTGATGTTATCCAGATAGAATATAGAAGTATTCATTAATTTTTTTTGTCTTGTAATTTGGTATTTAATAATAGATATAAAATATATCCGGATATAATCTTTAACTAACCTATTCTATCAATTTAGACACTCTGGCACATACTTCGTTATTATGAATTGCTCTTATTAACACTAACCTAGCAAATGTAATCCAATCCAATACAATTACAAGATAAACCTATATGCTAAATATAAAATATATCCGACTATTGAGTTTCTATAACTACCAAAATGATACTTAGTTGTAGATATATGTTATATCTGCATATATAGAAGAATTCACACCTAAATTTCGCACCACTCAAATCATATTTGAATTTTTTCTCAATAATGGACTATTTATATTTTGGGTATGGACAATATATGGGTATGGAAAATATACCTTTCTGAAATCCTAGATTCTTCTTGAATGGAGTAATCGAAATTGAAGACTATCAAACCTTCACTTTGACGAGCATCCGGCAATGACTTTACGCGATGGCCTACTATGGACTGTTATAGGACAGTAAATGGAAAAAACGACTGGAAAGAATGGTGTTGAGGAAAAAGGAGAAATCGGTAGAAGAAGAAACGGACGGAAGAACGAGAAACCGAAAGAAACCGTATGATTATTTGAGTATTTTATTTTTGAAAAGTTTAAATGGGCATAAAATAAGAGATTTAAAATCTAACCTACCAAATAAACCATTTTGATTTTAATAAATTTATTAATATTTAGGTGTAAATAAATAAGGATATAAAAGTAAATTGTTGATGGGTACCATCTTAAATATGGTTATTTTATACATTGAATCATTTTACGTAATTATAATCTCTCAATAGGCTATCTATGTACTAATTCATAAATTTTTTTTAGAGATAGATAAATTTTAAAGTGAGGAAATAAGTTTGTTATAGAAATACGTCAAAGAAAAAAAATAAGACTTCGGCATCAGGGGAAAAAATGAAATTTTAAAAACATAAATATGTTTTAAAAACTTTTTTTTTATGAAATTCTAACATTTGAAAAAAATAGAAATAGAAAATTGAATTGGTTATCAATTTTTTTTTAAATAAAAAACTAATAACAAAAAAAATCATTATCATATGATCCTCAAAAATCAAATAGAATAATCATAACATTAACCCAACTAATATTGCTAATTCAAACATAATTGAATAGATAAGACACTCATTGATCGAAGATCTCTTTGAGCATGGGGTCCAATTGAAAATTTTAATCAGGGGGCAAGGACAGGGAAGGTATCCCCACCCGTCCCCCACTCCATTTAATATCTAAATAATAAAATATTAAATATTTATTATATATATAGTAATATTAATAATATATTATTTTTTTATAATATTTATTATATTCTATTATACTAATTCAAGTTATTTTTTAAAATAAAAACATTCCAAGAAAAAATATGTATATTATAAATTAAAAAGAAAAAGAAAATAAAAGAGGGAATGCTCCGTTCTATCAGGGACCCGTCCCTATGGACAACCCATTACCGTCCTTACTAAACTTTAGGGGTGAGAATAAGTAGAAAAAACTCCAAATGAGGTTGGGGATGGGGATTGCCTCTAGCCCCGCTCCGTTGTCATCTCTAATCTCTAATCTTTCTTGAAGACACTAACTTTTAAGAGATCTTCTTCTGGGTTGTTTAGAACTTGGAAAACCATAGATTATCATACTCCACAAGACAATCTATATTCAGGTTAGTTTTCACAGAACAACAATACTTCTTTGTTTTTTTGGTAGCATGTATTATGATTTTTAGAAATAAATGCAAGATGAAAGGGAGATACTAATATATATATTTTTTAATTTTCAAATAAACACTATTAAAAAATTTAATGTTGCAATATTGTCTTTATGATATATATTTTTTTTATTTGACAATTATTGTCCTTATGATATTACTAACTTTATTAAGGGTTGTCTTTATGATTTTACTTTACTAAGTGTTTTGTTTAAATTTAGATAAAGATTGTTTTAGATTTTTTATTTTGTCTTTTTATTAAAGTACAGTACAAATTAGAGATATATGTCAATTATTGCTAAACTATATTCACTTTTTAACTTTTTTCTTTTGTTAGTTTAATTATATAAAGGTGGTGATTTGAATATACGAAAGGTTACTGTATCTTAACATTTAACGAGTTGTTATTACCCTACACTTGAATTGTTATTGCTGGTCATTATAGTTTTTTAATTGGGCTAGGTGATGTTAAAAGTTTAACTTTAAAATATTAATTTATGAAAAATAATACTTTTTAATATTATATATTGTTTTTTATAAACATTAAAAGCGTGGATACGAGGATTTGATCTTTAATGTCAAGAGAAGGATTAGATACTTTTACAAGCTAAGCTATGCTTGAATGATAAAATTTGGCTAATTGTGAAGTGTCACGTCATTGTTGTAAAATTATATTTATAACCAATTACAAATTTACACGTGTCTTCAAATTAATTTTAAAATCGACAAGTCAAATTATGCCACGTGTTTTTCTTATAACCGTCCGATGACATTGACTAATTAGATTAGCTCCATATAAGGATGTTCATTTTTCCATGGACCCCGTTTCCACGGGGACCCCCTTAAATGGGGTGGGAATGGGGGAAATTTTCCCCACCACCTAAATGGGGGAAGGGGTGGGGAATATGTTCCGCGTCCCCGTTCCTTGTTCTCCGCCCCCACGTCATTTTCTTTAATATATATACACACACTAAAATAATTATATCATCCTCTTGGTATATACATGTACTAAAAAAAATCATGTATTATTCTCTACCCACCCATCCAATATATATATTAGATAGAATTAGATTTTCTAAGTAATTAAATAAGAAATTCTTTAAGAAAAAATATTTATTGAGAAAATTTTAAAACATAAAAAAAAGAAATGGGGAAAAAGTTCCCGTAGGAAATCCGATCCTCAAAAATTTCCCACATAAATCTCCACCCCAATCCCTACAAAATTTCGTGAGAAATTTCACAAGGATAGAGAATTAAATAGGAGGCGGGGATGGTGACGGGGAAGCCTTCCCCGTCCCATGAACATCCTTTAACTCCATATGGAGATTTGGGCTCAAACCCAATAAGCCCATTAGAAAAAAAAACTCATATAAGACCACTAAGACGGTATAAATAGAAGATGTCACCTCTTATTTGATGGATTTATAAGGATTTGGATTCAAAGCCATCGGAGGATTCATACCATCTACGAGCATTTTAGAGCCAAGCGAAGAATTCGTAAGTGACTATAGTTGAAGGCTTCAAGAATTGAAGACTCGAAGAACTAAAGACTACGAGACTTCAAGAATTAGGTCTTCTCTTTGTCAACAACAAGCCGAATAACTCTTCACAAGCTACAAGCCCAACCAATAATGTAACTTCAACAAGTTACAAACTTAAGAACTTCATCGATAAGTTGAAAACTTCAAATACTTCAACAAAGCAACAAGTCGAAGAACTTCAACAAACTACAAATTAAAGACTTCATCAAGCTACAAGCTGAATAATTCAACGAGCTAAAAAGCAAAGCTTTCATTAAACTTCAAGCGAATACTTCATTAAGCTATACGAAAACTTCATCAAGCTGCAAGCTAAAGAATTTTATAAGCTATAAATCGATCTCTAAACAAGCTTAAAATCAAAGAACTCAAAAAATCTAGAAACTGAAAGAAACTAATATTTTCAATACGAGAACAAGTTCACCAATCAAAAGTATCAGATAATTATACATAGAAGATTATAACACTTATACATATAAATACAAATCAAATTCATTTATTCCAAATTTCACTTCAAGAAATTCATCGCTAACAACTATGTTAATGTTGGCTTTTTCTTCCTTTTTTTATTTAGACACCGGTATACTTTGTTCTATTGCTTAATTTCAACGGACATTTCAATAGCTTGAATAAAATTAAAGCTTCAAAAAAAATTACGAAAAAGGCCGTATACTCGATGAACCCAAGACATATGATATATATATCAGTAAATCTAACACACGTTCGTCTTATTTAGAGCAAGAATCAGAAGCGGCCGATACCACGATAAGTCACTGTCTGCATAACAAAAAAGTCAAAATTCGGAACAGAGACACTTGTTACAGAATCCAGGATCCAGATTACATCAGTTGTACGATAATCTTCTGCTACCGATTGCGTAGTATCAAAGCTCCTTCCGACCACCGCCTTCCAGTTCTTTAGGGTCCAGTTCAGTACCGTCCACGGCCTTTTGCGCCACCGTCGTCTACGAAAAACAGAGTAACCGACAACTTGCCGGCGAAACTTCCGACGATAGGGATTGGTCATTTGTGATGGATATGGAAGACGAGCACGGCGGCGGCGGCAGTAGCAGTAACTTGGATACAGGGAAGGCGGACAGATCAGTGTGGCTGATGAAGTGCCCCTTGCTGGTCGCGAAGTCATGGCAGTCTCACCCTCCCTCTGATACTCTTCCTCTCGCTAAGGTCATCCTTTCTCTCGATCCTCTCCAATCCGACGAGTCCTCTTCTCTCCAGGTACTTTTAGGACCTGTAATTGATGTTCACGTGGTGTACTATTACTGATTAAACTCTTTCTGCGTTTTTCCGAGTAATCTCAGCTTGTTTTTTGGCTTCCAGTGTTGTAGATTGATGTTGTTCTGGTTTCCTGATTGTTAATTTGATCGATGCTTGAGTGTGGTTGCAGAACCCTAGATTTTCTTTCACTGTAATTTTGACCCCTGAGGTCTGAGAGGTAGCTTGCTTCTCTCCTTATCCATGTTGCTAAAGGGAATATAAGCATTTACTTCAATAATTGACACTATGATACTCGTTGCCAAGTTTGTCCTAGAGAAGGGAAGTGCCGTTACTTTGTTTGTCGTAAGTACTGAGCCCTGGCCTCTAATGCGCAAGAAGATTTAAGTAGTCTTTTGGACTGTTTGCTATGAAGCTTAAATACTTTTTAAAGGTTGCAAAGATATTGGATGAGGTCTCCATTGGTGTGTGCCGTGAAATGAAACCTTGTCTATGGATTTGGTTAAGGCCCCTCCTCTCCTTGATGCTTTCATTTGAAATTACATTTGGAAGGTTGAGTGCCCTAAAAGAGCTAAAATCTTCACTTGGGAGCTCATTCACGGTGGTATCAACATTCAAGTTACATATTCTCACTCTATCTCCAAGCTGGTGCTAGTGCATTATGTGCAAGGAAAGTGAAGTGAACAAAGACCAGTCCACCTTTTTCTGTGTTGAAAAACAAGTTCCGAGTTTTTGTATGTATTACATTTTATCAGCATCTCTCTCTCTTTCTCTCTCTCTATCGGTCTATTTTTTATTACTATAATAAACCTAACTTTACATTGATGATATGAAAATACTTGGGAGGTTACAAAAAGGATCTTGAATTGATTTTAATAACATAAGAGAGTGGAAATGGTATACCATTGAAGTGTTAAAATAAGTCATCTCCCATCTTGGGGGGTTGTTTTTTTTTTGTCTTCCCCTTGTATTTTTTCATTTTTTCTCATGAAAGTTTGGTTTCTCATAAAAGAAAACTAAGCTATCTCCCATCTTTCTTCCTCCCGGGAAAAATCTTTGAAGTTATTTCTTCCCATATTGACCAGAGAGTGCTCTTAACTCCTATCACCCATATAGCACGAGCTTTTGGATTTGAAAAGAGGCCACATAAAAGATGAAGTAAACAGTCTTTAATTTTATTGTGGAGACACCACACCAAGTAAGTTTAAATTCGTTTAATAAGTGGATCCAAATATATTTCTCATTCCAGTGGTGTTGGAAGAACATAGTCTTTTTGGACATTGGACCAATCAACTTATCATTACTTGGTTGGATGATTTATACTACAAATATTATGCCTGAGAGGTTAGAAAACACAATTTTCAGTTGGGAAATTAGTTGGATTGAAGTGATTTCTAAGGCAGCAAAAGCAGAAAGGTAGCAAAATTTTCATAGGTCGTTTGTATTGTCTGTTTATGTTCTGTCATTCGTCTTAATTAAAACTTGATCTTTCATAACAATTTATTATATGTTCTGATATTTATACGGTGCTGTTCTATATTTTCCACCTCATTTCTACTGCTTTTGTTGATCTTATCTTGATGTTTTTGTGCTCGTTACTTCTATACTGTTTGCTGGACCATATACACATTTGTACTTGCACACGCATAAACTTATGTATTGGAAGCAAATTATTTATTTCTCCATATCCAGCAATAATTGTGACTTTGACCTGTGGCTCATTATTTAACCTTTTGGGATGCTTTATCTTTTTTTTTTTCTCTTTCCAACACCATTTTCCTTACACACTTCAAAATGAACCTCAGTTCAAGATGGAAATGGCTGGAACTGAGACTGGAAACGTGCCAAAAAGCTTTTCCTTAAATATGTTTAAAGACTTTGTTCCTATGTGCGTCTTTTCAGAGGCAAGTCAAGGTGAGCATCACAATCCACTTCTGTAGTCCATTCTTTTTCGGCTATGCTGTCACCCTGAATGTGGTTCTATCATCTATGTGAACATTCCTGATATCTGGAAGTGTTTCTTCCTCTGATTTGGTTATTGGTTTCTCTATTGTGAGGATTAATATTGACTGATGGTGCTGTAGAATTTTTATTAAATTTATGTATGTTTTTCGACAAGGAAGAGAGAAATTCATTCAACTTAGAGGCCAGAGGGAAGAGTTATCCCTTTGCCAAGGAGGTTATGAAAAGCCTCAATATTTTAAATTAATAAAAATGCTGCTGTAGTTACAAAAATCCCTATAAGAGGCACTCAAAATGGAGAGGCCAAACGTGGTGCATTTAGCCTTAACAGTATCACCAGATATCCTATTGTTCCTCTCTTTCCAAATGGACAAAGTGCTCTAGCTGTGCTTTTCCATAAGATTTTGGATTTTAAGTCACCACTCTGAGAGCAGTTACTGGGAGCCAATCTGCAATATTGTTAGGGAAACAGCAGTTGTGCCCAAAAATTTTCAAAAGGGATGTTACCAGTTAGCTACAAAATTACAATGAATGAAAAGGTGGTCTATAGCCTTTTCATCCTTCTTAGTTTTAGGACAAATCTAAGGGGAGATAGTGGAAGGGATTTTTTTTTGAATTGTCTCTCGAGTGTTTTCAAATCTTTAATACCGTGAACCGAATGTAAAACTTAAATTTGTTTTGGGAACTTGCCACCCCAAGTGTGCTTGGTCAGTAGAGTACTCAACTTAGAGCAATTGGAGTTGAGTTTAGGCAGTTTTTAGGGCCTCATGAGATTCAAAGCTGAGAAGGGGCAGCGGAGTCGGTTTTGGGAGGATTTCTTGGGCCATGGAGACCCCTCTTGCCACTGTTTTCCCCGAGTTTTATGCTTTATCTACTAAAAAGGGGCGGTTATTGCTGATTGTTAGATCTCTCTCTCTCTGTCTCAGACTTGAGACTTAGGGATTAGGAGAAGATTCTTTGACACAGAAATTCCAAGGTGGGCTGGATTTGCTGAGAAATTAGATATTCTATCTAATTGGAGTTGGCAAAGACGGGATGCTTTGGGAGATGGAATCCTGGGGTCTTTTTTCCTGCTATATTTGACGTCAATCACTAAGCTGAATGCCAAGCTGGCCTTGGTGGATTATATATGGAGGTTCAAAGCTCCGAAGAAAGTGAATTCTTTCTGTGTGGACCTGTTTTTATAGAGGTTTGAACACTGCAGATAAGCTTCAAAGGAATTTCCTAGGTGGCCGTTATTTCCCCCTATTTGCTGCCCAGTGCCTCTGTTCTTTCCCAAGAAAAGACTTTAGACCACTTGTTTCTCTTCTGCCCCTCTGCTCAGCATGCCTCGTTTTCCCTATTTGCTGTTTTTGATTTGGCTTGTTGTCTTCCAGAGAAGGTGGATTTGTGGCTTCTGGAATATTTTGGTGGAGAGATGTTTAGAGGCAAAGCCAAAATTCTGCGGGGTTGTGCTGTGAGGGTTATTTTTTGGCTTAGTTGGAAAGATAGAAATCAGAGAATCTTTTAAGATAGATTGTCAACTAGAATTTTTTTTTTTTGGGGGGTAGTGTACAACATACTACCTTGGTGGTGTTCAAACCACAAGATTTATGCAAGTACGGCGCCATCGTGATAATGATGGGAAAACTTTGATTTTCTAGTTTTCTTTTGACAGCGAGGGTTCCCTCAACCTGACTCCTAGGCTGTTATCCCTGACCTTTTTGTTAATATATTCTGATGTTTCTTATATAAAAAATAAGTTGTCCCAATTTACAATAAAAGAGCTGCTTCTTTCAGTTCAGAGTCTGATAGAGTTTACTTTGTTGGAAGAATAGGTCCTCTCCTTGATCCGTCTTGAAGAAGCCTCCTTCAAATTTAAGACTCTCCAGATATCCTTGATAATATCATAAATTCTTGGGAAGGAGGTACTCAGTATACTGGAATCTACCCAAATATCTTCCAAAGACAAATTTTGTTCTGTTCTCAACTTTGAAAGAAATCTCTCTCTTTTTTTTTTTCCCTAATCTCAGATTCTGATGGCATAAGCTTCCTACATGGTTGCCTCCAATTTTTTTTCTGAACCATCCAAGAGGGTTGGAACAATATCTGCTCCACTCTCCTAAAGAATTCTCCTCGTTGATGTATCTCCACAAAAATTCTGTAGCCTCTTTTTTGTGTGTAAGGTTTCCAACCCCTGCGCCCTTGAGAGAAGTTGAGTGGGCAATCAATTTCCTCTTATCCAATTGTGACTGCCTTGTCTAAAATTTTCCTCTTCCAAGTGAAATCTCTTAGGGTCTTCTCCATACTTTTTGCAAACGTCGACTGGATTCTAAATAGGGAGAAATAATAGTTTGGATTAATGGAGATAATCATTAATCACTTGAGCCAGTCAATTGACCATCTCTTTTTTTTTTTGGTTTATATTTGCGAATGTCTACGCTAGCTTGAGTGCACTTCGATTAATCTCACGGGACAATCGCTTGACCCTACGTCATTTGATTGCCAAGATAATTCGTTGGATGTAAAATCTTATGCTCTTGCTGACTTATTTTTTATGCTCTTTTGTTGTAAATGTTATGTTCCTTCATATACACTCTCAAATTATGTCTATTGGAAAGGATTTTGTAATCTTCCCTGGCTTGAGGTTCGACTTTTCTTCCTTTTTGTAATTTCAAACTATCTAAGGACTTTATTTTTCAGCCAACACCTTAGAATTTACTTTATACAGGAGGAGGTGTCTAAACTTATAGTTATTGGTCCAACTCACCATGGCAGCATTGTCTTTAAGTTTCATTGGTGCATTTGTTGACAACCCCCTTTCAAAAAAATCTTGGAACTCTTTCTAGAAGTCTTCTTCGGAAGTGTTCCGCTTCCATTATTTTTCAACACATCGGCAGTCATACCTCATTGGCCTGGTCTAGGAAGATTTCGGTTAACAAGCATTTTAGCTGCTTAGTAGAATGCCTTCCTTTCCTGGGTCCCTCAACCACTTCAAGTTGAGAAAATGGGTCTGCGATGAACATTTTGGAAGACAAACCTTTTATTGTTGTTTTTTGAAAATAACGTGCTAAAATAATCAATCATTGTTCACCACCCCCTCTTCAACATTGAGACTTCACCTTTAATAACAATCAAGAAAGAGATAAAATTTAATCCCTTCTTATTCTAGAAGACATCCAGGTAGGGAAAAGTCTTGAGTTCTATCTCCCTTTTTCAGCTTGTTAGTCCTCCACATTCTCTGCTCGTTTGCAACACACTCCAACAATTTTGATTTACATACCTGTCTCGTCTAGGGAATGATTTATGTAATGCAACTGGCGACATCCCTGAAAACCTCTCTGTTCCACCAACTTTGCAAAGGCTTGAGGCTTTACTGCTAAATGAAGGTATAACCTAGCCACCCATGACCTGAGGGCTATCTCACCACTAACTTGAGATTTCCCATAAAAGAAGGGTAGTCTAGCCAGATTTTTTTGGGAATCTAAAAGGCGTGGAGCTCCATTTAAGACAACAAAGAGAGTAAGCACAATGACGGAGTGATTTTGGAAAGCTTGCCAACCAAAGCTTCCTTTTAAAATCCTACCAGCTCGAGGAGACCAAAAAACTGTCTGTTTTAGTGAAGATGGGAGCATTGATATTGGACCAAGTGCAGTCATCATTACTGAGATGGATATCAATGAGAGATATATCTCCCGTTAGACTATTAGAAGATTTCACGGTCTTGGTAATTCTACCTTGAAGATTTTTCATCGAGTTCATCAAAATAATCTCCTCCAACACACCATCTTCCATGACATGGGGGGCAGGTATCTTGGTTCTCCCTCCAACATTCCTTTATATAATGGTAAGAAAGACTCTAAACCCCCAAAATATAGCTGCTTTTGTCATCTTCAAATTTGATATACAGAAAAAGACCCCGTCAAGGAAGTGATCAACTTGACACGTAATTTCTTATACTTAACAGTCCAACCAGCTGATCCAGTAGCCTTGAAAGACGAACCTATTTTTGTTGGAACTCTTAACCGATTTGATAGAACTCCTGCCAACTTTTATTTATTTAAACTCTTGTAGAATGAAAATATATTGACTATTTCTTACGTCCTTAATAACACATGGGAAACACCTAATGGCTAACTCCCAAGCGTTTCAGCACAAAATCTTCATAAAACGACTAGCGCTGGTTCAGGCTGGAACATTTTTGTCCTGTGTTCCTGCAGGGATTCAAAAAGCTTTTCAGTTCCTCCACGACCACAATCTTTCTGATGCTGGTTCTTTTATTGAACTTTTTGCTGGGAATCAATCTGATACGCAGATTCAGATACCTTGGAGAATTAATGAGCTTCTTAAAGGAAGGGAATTGTATCTGGGTTCTGAGCTCGTTTCTCATGTCTTGTTTATACAGCTCCCTGGGTTTCTTTCTAGCCTACCAGCTGTGACTGGATTGCTTGCATGTCTAACCAAAGTCTTCCTTTGCTGGAGCTCGTTTCATGCTGTAAAATTTGATCTATAATCGATTTTTCATACGAGACAACGCTTGTAGAGTAAAAATATTTCTACAAAAATCTTGGTGTGTACCTTTTTTCCCTCATGAGTCATTAAATATACTACATTGATGAAAACACTTCTTATACATATTTCCTGTTGCCTATATTTGGAATGGTATTTGAAATTTTGTTCATGTAATGAGATAATAGAACATGCCAAGTAGTGAAGCATAATCTTAAAGTTTGGATGGAGATGCATTGGTCGTAGTCAGCTAATGATTTATCATTTTGAGTCTTCATTATTGATTTTGACTCTTTGAAGATTGCTCCGAAAAAATTCTTTTGTAGGTAAGATGTCAATGGAAGGTAAAGTGGAACATAAATTCGATATGAAGCCTCATGGTGAAAATCTTGAAATGTATGGGAAATTGTGCCGTGAAAGGACAAACAAGTCCATGGTTAAGAATAGACAAATACAAGTACATCATCAGGAGCCTTTTTTAAAACTTTTCTTTAGCCCTTTTTAGCATTCTATGTTTGCACAACTTAACAATTTACGTTCCCCTGATGTGTTGGTAAGGTGATAGACAATGACCGTGGAGTTCATATGAGGCCAATGCCTGGGATGGTTGGTTTGATCAGCTCAACTTCAAAGGTATATCTTTGCTCTGTTTTGACTTTCATCAACCTTCTGAACTTTCACGTTCTAAGTACGATTTTACGATCAATCATTTACGGTAGGAAAAGAAGAAGGTGGCACCAGTTAAACAATCAGACGTGAAAAGAACTAGAAGGGATCGTGGGGAACTAGAAGATATAATGTTCAAGCTATTTGAAAGACAGCCGAATTGGGCCCTAAAGCAGCTAGTCCAAGAGACTGATCAACCTGCAGTATGTCTACTAATCTTTTCCTCCTTTATTGATGTCTTGTAATATTACTTTTTTTTTTATGTTCACTACAGATTATAAATTTTGTGGCCATCTCCTTTCATCATAGTTATTAGGTTAAATAATAAGTTTGATCTATGAATTTTTAGGTTGTCTACTTAATTGTTGTAATTTAAAAAGTTCTAATAATTATAGTCTCTTCCCTTTCAATATTGGGTCTATTTAGTCCCTGTGCTTAAAAAAATATAATAGGCTATTGAACTTTCAATTATGTCTATTATGTCCTCGTCGTTAACTTCAGTTTTAATGCTTACATCACTAAATCCACTTGAAATCGACTCACCATGTAATCCTTTAACAACATAGTCAGAGTGCTACATAACAACGTTAAAGTGACGAAAGTAACAATATAAACTTATTAGATACAAAATCGTTAATGATAAGATCTATTAAAAAATATAGAAATCAACTAGACAACTTTGGAAGTTCGATGATCTATGATAAACTTTTCAAAGGACGTGGACTAAATAAACCCAACCTTAGTTCTAGAACCTTAGTTCTAGGGCTTAACTTGTAACTTAACCCATTTATTATTTGCTTTAGTGGTACATAAATTGCGGTTGAGTTCTCAGAACAATTGTGGTTCCTTCTCTTTGCAGCAATTCTTGAAAGAGATACTGAACGAGCTTTGTGTCTACAACAAAAGAGGGACTAATCAAGGAACGTACGAGCTTAAGCCCGAATACAAGAAGTCTGTCGAGGAGACCGGCGGAGAGTAGGTTAGTCTTCGATTGTATCATTTTATTTACATATTCCCTTCTTTTGGGGTAGGTGGAAACGATCTGAAATAAATCTGGAAATCAAAGAGAGAAGAAGATTTTGGTTTGTTATATTTTCATGGGAGGGAGAGATGGGAGGATGGAAAGAAAATGGTTCAAAAATAATAGCTAGTTAGCTTTATACTAAAGTGAAGTGAAACCAAAGGTGGAATGAAATTTGGGGGAAGTTATTATGTCATGTTTATCCAATTACTGTACAAGGTCAGGAGTTGCAAAATGTATCTGTATAATGAATCTTACGAGCATGGGAAGATGTTGGAAACAGAGTTGTTCATTGACTTTGATTCTGGTTAATTTTTGTAAGAGGAATATGGGTTTTGAAAATCTATCCTCGCCTAAGATATTAAAATTCTATGAGTTTTTTGAGAATTGAATATGAGCATAAATCTTGCATCGTCGTCATTGAATTCAATTACCTCCAGGATATTTAAACTGGTGAAGCTTGTTAAGTTTATTGTTAGCATTCACATTAATAGGATATATCTACTATGTTCAATCTTTGCTTCAATCTTAGCTTTCGAAGGTTGGTAAACAGTTCCGCATCTTGAAAAATTTTTTTAGTACAACATGTGGGGGTGAGAGATTGAATTCACAATCTTTTAATTGGAGATATATGTTAACGAACTATGCTCGCTTTAGTGAAACTTTGAAATTTTATTCCAACATTTGTGATTCGGTGTAGATAAAAGATATTAGGTCCTTGACCAACGGATACAGCATACATCTATGTATGTACCATTACAGCAACATATGATGAGGACAAAGTCTCGTTGCCTGCAGCATATGTTTATATTGACACGTTTTCATTATAAAAAAAAGTTTTTAAAGTGTTATTTTGATCTCTTTAATTTTAGTTTTGGTTTATTTTAGTTTCTATATTTTTTAAACGTCAATTTTGATTCTTACACTCTCAAAACTTTTGATTCATTCATTTTAATTTCATATCAAAACGTTTGATTCATTTTCATTTCATATAATTTCTGATGATCGTAATTTTAATATAATATTTTATTCAATAATTTTTTTAAATGTAGTCATAAATTTGTATTAAAGAATTTTTATTCTTTGTATAAAATTTGAGTACAAATTTTGAAAAGAGGTATTAAATTGAAAAAAAAAGTTGAAAATTGAAAGTAAGGGACAGACAATATAAAGGAGTGCCATCTGAGTTTTTTGAAGGAAAACCTTAGTAAAAAAAAGCTCCAATTTAAATTCATTAGAGGAGAAAAAAAAAAGGGAAATATAAATGAAGAACAAATGAATTTTTAGAGAGAAAACTTACAAAAAGCTCCTCCAACTTGAACTGATGACAAAAGAAGCACATTAGAGGAGGGGGAAAAATATAAAGGAAGAACAAAGGAACGTATTCGACTATTAATATACACAGTTCGGCAACAAATAACATCTATTTTTGTCTAAGTCAAAGATTCAAATTTTCATACTCTATATTTATTGTACTGAGGAAAAAAAAGAAATGGAGGGGATTTGAATTTGTGATCTCGATAGGTGTCAATTATCACTAAGCTAAATTTGTGTTGTCAAATAAAGAGTTTTTTCTTTTTTTTTTTCTTTTCAAAAAACTAATTTCCTAATAGTAGTCATCTTAGAAATAGATCCATCATTGAATGCTTAATCTGACCAATTTGTACGCTAGGATTATGCAATTTCATTTATTTTATAGATTTTTTTTTTCATATTAGATTTGTAATTACTTCAAATTAAAAGGTTAAGTTGAGATTTATTTTTTCATATTATCAAGTTCTCGATAGGTGTCAATTACGCATGTTCGCCGTTCATGTTGGGTTTGTAAGGAATGCAAACAAAGTTCCACATTGACTAGATGGGAATGATCCATGATATATAAGAGATGACAATTATCTGGTATGAGACATTTTGAGTGGAACCAAAATCAAAGCCGTGGTATGTCCAAAACAGACAAAATATCATACTTAATGGAGATACGTGAGATACTTTGAATACCTTTTGTTAACAGCTCACCTGTTTACTAAATTATGGGCTTCTCTTTTCCCAAAGAAATGTACAATGTTTGGTGCACCATCCACTGTACAATTGAAAGCTCACCCCACGAAAATTTTTCTATATGTCTTCTCATAAAACACTTCTTAATATTCTTAACCCTTTTTTCCAAAATAAATAATTCTTAAATTAATTTTTAGTTCGAAATCATTTAAAAAAGAAATCTATGAAATAAAAAAGAATTAGTAGATAAACATTCCCTTTTGTAATGCAACACCGCAATGATAGAAATAAAAAATTTGAATCCTTCCACCTATGGAAAAGACTTTTGATTCCTTTTCTAACTAAATAAACGTAATTTTTCTTTTCTCTTTTAATTTAATTTTATGTGAAGTATTTTGTTTAGAGAATAGAAGGAGGCGGCCGGCCACTTAAGCAGCAAAGCAAAGCAAACCACACACTAAATTCAATATAAGATGCCTTTCTGTATGGCCTTAGTCCCACTCTCTCATCATTATGCGCATTCTCAACACTTGAAAATTAAACCATGCTATATCTCATAGATTTTCATGATATCATTTCCCATTTTTTTCTTTGGGAATGAGACTTCTTTTTTTTTCCTTCTTTCTTTTTAATTATGTAATAGATATGATATTTGGGTTCGTATGGTTAGGAAAGAGAGCAATCCATGGTATATAGATGAGGACAATTATTTCATTGATATGAGACTTTTCGAGTGAAACCAAAATCAAAGTTGTGACGATTATATGCTCAAAGCAGATGATATCATGCCATTTTGTGAAGATATTTGGGAGTACGAAGGTATCGAGAAGTGACGTCGGTTCATTAAGTTTACGAATGGCCAATAAAGACAGTCGAGAGGGATATTTCTACTAATTATGAGTTTTTGTAAACCGGGCGATTATTGAAAAAAAAAAAAAAAGGAATGTTAGTTTGGATCATTGAGTTTATTCTTATCTATAATTTTGTGTTTTTTTTTGTTTTTGAAATGAAAAACACCATTCATTCAAAAACGTAGGTGAAAAACATAAAATATTAGAGGAGGTTAAGTGAAAGCGCTCCAGTTCAGAGAAATTGTGGAAATGTCATAATTACAAAAAAAAAGGTCAATTTTGAAGACCGAGGAAGTAGTAATTTTGATAACATCTATAATTTTGTGCTTAAAGTTTAAAGGGTTTTATTTGACGCAAATTTTGGTTAAATTTGAGTTAGGAATTAATGGAAAAATGACATAATTTTTTTATTTTTTTTATTTTTATAATTGATTATCATCTATGTGTAATCAGTAGTTCATGAGATGAAAATATGATAAAACATAAATATTAGTTTATTTATTGAGAATAAAGAAAAAGAATATGAAAATTAATCTTTTGCGTACTGGCATGGAAAATTGTTTTCAAGTAATATTTTTGCCCAATTAAATCTATCCTACTTATTTTATTTAGCCCTAACACTTGCAATTTTGTAAGCTGTTATGTCATTATGCATTTTTCTAAACCTTTTTTCTTATTTTAAATTTCAGCTAGCTCATAATTTTTTTCTTTTCCTTTTTAAGTTGCCCATTAATTTCCCCCTCCATATGAGCATGAATTTCGGATCAAACAATTCCTCCATGTACTAATGGAGCTAAAGATTTCCTCAAGTTCTTTCATGGAGGTTAGAGATCCATCAACATGTCAAGAAGTAAAAAAATGGGTCACATCAAATTTTGTTATAGGCTTTTTATTTGAATTTTGAACTCATTGAAATTTAGGAACTACAAATGAGATTTTTTTCTTTTTTCTTTTTTAATTTTATGGACGACTAAACTAGAAATAAAGCTAAAACTAGTACTTTTCAGACTAAGATTATATTCCAACCATTTTCTTATTTATAATAAAAGCTTCATTTGACGATACAATATTTATTAAGAATATAATATTTCATGTTGTTGAGAAAATGATTATATATATATATATATATATGCAATATTTTCATCTTCAAAATTCCGAAAAAGATTCATCTAACATTTAAGGCTGAGTTTGAATTCTCACCCATCCTGTTGTACTAAACAAAATAATTAAAATTCAAATGACTTGAGTAAAATCATAATAATAACGATAATAAAATTCTATTTTTGTGTTTAAATTTTTAATGTTTATTTTAGTCCTTAAACTTTAAAAAATAATCACTTTGATATTTGAATTTTCCTAATATCTATTTTAGCCCCTCAATGCTCAACTTTAAAAAGAAGTAACAATTTTAATCATTATTATATTATTCTGCATCCTAAAATTGCTTTACCCAATACTCTTAATTTTTAATAACCTATGTGGTCTAATAATACATACTTTTCATACATAGACTCAATGATATGTTATTAACTTGTAAAAATAAAAACAAAAGTAACCATCCAAATTATTACACATTTAAAATTTTGGGACTAAAATAAACCTTTCAAACAAAATGAAAAGAGGAAAAAAAAGAAAAAAAGAAAACTTAAAAACCCTAATCCGAGCCTCCATTACAGAAGTTCACTGTAATTTGCATGGCCTTTTCCCCACGATCAAACCCTAATTCAGAGTTGTCATCATGACACGCCACATTTCTTAATCAGCCAAGACTCAACGATGGAGCCTCATCGAGTGGGTTTTGAAATTATACTGCATTATTATAATGTCCAGGGAGGGCCTTTTTACATATACCTACATTTTATATATATATATATATATATATATATATATATATATATATATAACCATCATGAGTCATTCATTGGTCCAAACGGATTAATTAATTTAAAAAGAATGGGTTTAAATGCAACCTTAGGAATTAGTAATTTCTTTGTGTTTCCGAATTCTGTGAGATTAGTCGAAGTACGCGTAAGTTAGTCCGGACACTCACGAATATCAATACACGTACATGTGTGGCCATTGTGCGAATTCCACTTACATATTCCTAAAATAAGATTCCAATTCGTATCCACTCCCCAATGGCCTAATTAGTGTTGAAAGTGACCAACTGGGAAATGGAAAATTTTTCAAGTGTTTTGCTTAAAAATATATTCCCATTGCTCATCTTTCTGATCAAGACTCTCTCTCGGCTTGGCATTTCATCGAATGGTTTATAGGCATCTGCTTTTGCCACCATTTTCTCTCGACAGCAATGATGCCATTTGAATAAATGGGTTGTGTCGTTTTATCACACTCCCATGTACGTGGATACTAATTGTAGGAACCCATCAAAAGAGAGAGAGAGAGAAAATGTTAATTTGTGAATTTAATTAGTTCATGAATTCTTCTGGTGGTTGAGTTTGTCTTGTGTCTCTAAATTTAAAAAAAATAATAATAATTAATTGTAGCTAGCTGTTAGAAGATAGCTAGACATCTCATCTCTAAAATTGATGATTCCATCTCTTAT